ATCTGAAAACATAATTCACAAAACAGAAACACTAAATCCATACATTCCATGTTGTATTTTGATATTGTTCAAACTTTGCCCTGTGTTCTCCCATTCCAAGAGTATCATGGCCTAGTTATATGTAAAAACTTTCTTAAACTAAAAATAGTCAATCTTTCGCATTAACATAAATTAGAAAAATTATTCAAATCCTTTAAGTAAAATTCAACACTCCACTCTCCATACGAATTTAAACTACGGGAAAAGGAAATACACAAGCATCAGTAATCCCTTAACTACAAAAAAAAGCTTTTCCATCCCTTTGAATAGTTACACATCTCCATTCAGGCCAGAAATAGAATACTGATTTGAACTCTACAACAATTCTTGCAGATTATACATTTGAGGATGACCTAAACTTTCCAAATACACTTGTGATCCCATTTTACAACCTTCATATTCAACTCCAATTGTTCCAATAAAGGCATAACTCTTTCATCCAATTAAAATTTAGAGAGCTTTCTTGTCTATTTCAAGAATTTTTTTTTAATGCTCCCAATGACTTAGTAGTGTGGCAGAAGAATTTGATGGATCCTTGCTCCCACATTATTGGTAGCTATTTTTCCATAAGATCACATCATACCATAATGTTTTGATAAACTGCAGGATCTCGGCTTCAACCCTAAAGCTTCTTCGATGTGCCCCTATCTACAGAATAACTTAAGCATTCCCAGTAATTGAGCCAAAAATATTATTCCAAAATTAAAAATTAGGTTAAGAAAATGTGTCTAATATCCAAATTCTGACAGTACTTAAGTAAAAAACATTGGTTAGAAAATAATAAATTTATTGAAAAAAAACTAAGTCGGTCATCGCTGAACAAACAAGCATCAAAAACTTCGTTGAAATGATTCATATAAATCCTTGGTCTGCTTGTTTAAACCAAAATCATGATATGCAAACAAATAGAAACTACAACACTAAAAAAATAAACAGAAGAAAAAAACGAATCGCTTACCTTCACAGACCTCCAGTGGTCAAGGCACTCACGATGAACATACTTGGCAGTCCCTTTACATTTGCAAGGAGCAATGAAATCCCTTCCTGCGAAACAAAAACAATTACAATCAAACAAGGGAAGCAAAATCCAACCGAATCAAAAAAGCATCAATCACCGCCGCCTCAACTAAGAAATCATCAAAAGCTCTCAATTTTGTTACCAAAGAATGTAATCAAGTAGCAAAACCCTACAAATCGAAATTTTCAAGAATCGGTGTCTGGAGTAAATGGAAAGGGTGCGGGATAAGGGTGAGCAAGAAATCACCGTCGGTCTCGAGGCAGATCCGACACTGTAACTGCTCCCCAGGACCGGCCTCGAGGTCAATCTCCCCGAGCTCCGGCATCGGGGATGGAGCCACCAACGGAGAGGAGCTGTCTGGATCCACCATGGAAATCAGCAAGCAGGAGAACTATGATCAGAAAATCGTTGTGACAACGGTGCTGGTAGCTGTCAAGCAGGCAATGGGAAGGAGAAGGAAACCATGGGGCAATGGAATCGTTCTCCTCCCTCCTCTACTTCACCGGGTCGTCACGCCCCACACCTTCTTTTCTAATTTTAATCTTGGGGAACAAATGGAGAGAAATATGAGATTGATTTGTTTTGCAAAAAATATATCTAATAGCTTGTCCATTGTATAAGTGCTCTCTTTTCCTTTTTTTTAAGTGTTTATTTAAAACCAACAATCATTTGAATAAGACTTCGTTTGAGAAGACATTGAATCTCAATTACGTTTATATCGAACTTCAAGTCGGCGGATGACCTTCTTCGTTCCACCAAGGTGTCTTTCAAAATAACTCTCTTGAATGACGAAATTGATGTGAAGCCTACGGTTCTAATAAGTTCTAAATATATTGAAGAAAAATTCAAAACATGTTAGAATTTTATTCGAGCGGATGGTATTTGTTAATTTCTTTCGAGCAAGGTTACAATCATATTCTAACATGGTTCATATATGGTTTGAATTAGTTTTGAATGGTTTTCAAATCATGTTCAAGTAGATCAATGTTGTTCAAATGAATATCATGCCATGTTTGAGCATGGTTTGCATATGATATAAGGATTATAAGATAGGTAAAATTGAGTAAGGTTTTTAAAATATAGTACAGTGCAGTAGGTAGAAAACTATAGTTTATGTAATAAATACAATATAATATTATAATTTTGTAATAAGAGTGAGTATCAAAATGTAACTAAGGATATGTTTGGGGTTGCGGAGTGGTGTCGCATCGTAGTTTTTTCATTTTGACATAGTTGTGTTTTGTCTGTCTTCTCAAAAAACTGCAGCTAAAATATGTGTTTTCTCAGCAGACCTAACTACCTGCAGTGGCTGTTATAAAGCTGTGGTCTGACTTTAAAAAAAATTGCAATAGTCACCGCAGTTTTTTGAACAACGGTTTCTTCTTCAGCAGTTGTATCTTCAAACAGCTACAGCTGCCCAAAACAGACCCTAAAGCGATGAGCCACTTAGCCAAATGAGTTATTTGATTATGGCTTATCACTTGACATTGTTTACATCCATATTATATGACATCATTCTCCATTTAAAGACCTATTTTTCTTTGGAAGGCCACCTTTTAGCATCACCAATAAAGGTAGTTCATTGAATATTTATTTCATTTGAAACCTCCAAAATATTCTCACTTTTTATTGAATATTTATTTTCAGTAGACATAGCTAATTATATTTCTAATGCATACAATTTTGAACATAAGCTATGACAATTGATACCTCGATATTAAGCTACATCTAATGCATATTCACAAAAGAGACTCATAATATGAAACTTTATATAAATGCATGGCATTCCCTACAAATACATATCATTATTAAAGTGGCAAATGAGATAATCAAGCTTTGAGTCCTATTGAGGAGCATCCCTGAAAAATTTTGATTTTTTTATCATAGTATTTTGATATTAAATACAATTATAAATCTTTCAAGAATAATTTCTAAGTTATATGCTTCAAAAACTCCAATAAAATAATCACTAGTTAGTAGCATGCATGCATAATAATATTACTAAAGCTTTTTAAATTATCGATCATCACTGAGGGAAAAAACACAGACAACTCTCAGAGTCAACTTCTCACTTGAGATAAAAAAAGGCATAGTTATGGAACATGTATTTGTTGAAACACTTATAAAATCTACCTCTTTTGTAATCCTTATAAACAAAATGATATTTCTCATGTTAATTATAAATTTTAAAGTTCATTGTGATTTTTATTGCATTATGATGAATATAATCTTCATGATATACCTATGAAAAAATATAAAAGCATTGACTATAATATTATATCTATTAGAAAAACACCAAGTTTCCAATTACATCCATGACTTATTATTTTATGAGTTAAATACTAAAAGTTTGATTAAATAAATCTTATACTCACAACCTATATTATTGTTAATAATAAAGTGCATTTATACATGTATTTAAAAATATTATTAGGTGACATGAACACTTGAAGCCTTAAACATAAATACCTAAAAAGAAATAAACAGACTTAAAAACATCACTTACAATCAGGATGATATATATATATATATATATATATATATTATGAAGTTTAGTTTGACAAAGTGGTACCCACTAAAAAGGTGCTTCAGGGACTCACTTATACATGTAATAGTTTGCTTAAATGACAAGTTAATGATTTAGTGAGTTATCACTAAATTTCACTATCTCATCACTATGCTTTGCTGCCCATCACAAAATAATAGAGAGTCATAAATCAAATCCACCATGTTAGCAAACTTTTTATAAAGCATTAACAAGATACAACTAACTAAAAAATGTATATAAAATTTAGTTTGATTCCTAAAGAGATACAACATTATGAAGAAAATTTTCTTAACTTAATAATCTGTCAAAACAAATTAGTGTGTCATGATAAAGTGGCAAAATACAGCTCACAAACTCTTGTAATTTGATGAGTTAAATATTATTATTGTGGCTTCATAATTATTTATAAATACTAACGAATATGTTGTAGTTATATTCATTTTCTTTGATTAATGTGCATGATAATATATGATATTATAATATTAGTAAATCGGTATTATAAATATATATAGGACATCAATATTTTAACAGTAGGTGTATATATATATACACCTGGTCTTGTGCATGCCTCACATAGTTAGTGTGTAATGCTTTTCTGACCGGAGGTGAGGCATGATCATCATAGTAGCTTCAGTGTACATTCCAACATACAAAAAACCCTTTTTGGATGGTTTTGATTCTGAAAATACATTTTTTATACAAAATAAAGTTAAATTTAAGAGATACTCATCTATTTTGATAATATGAGGAAGAATTTAACTAACGTGTATTTATTTAAATTAGTTTTTTTTTTCTATATAAAATTTAAAAACTTCTATATCTATCAATCTCTCTCTTTCACTCTCTCTCTCTCTCTCTCTTTATATATATATGTGTGTGTGTGTGTGCGCGCGCGCGCGCGTGTGTGTGTACATGTGCCACGTACTCAGATAAGTTTGTCGGGCATCTGCTTGTCAGTTGTAAGTCCCCTCTGCGCGTGTGTGTGTACCTGTGCCACGTACTCAGATAAGTTGGTCGGGCATCTGCTTGTCAGTTGTAAGTCCCCTCTGGTCTAGGGTTTGATTCCCCCTGAGTGTAAGGTGTGGTACTCGCACATGAGGAATAACCGGGCCTCGTATAAGAGCCTCTGACCATTCCTTTGAATATATATATATATCTCTTTGTGTATGAATTGTTTTGTTTAGTTGATACCGTTCACGTCGCACTCCAACTTTGTATCAAAGTCATTTTAAAATAAAATAAAAAAGAAATTTGTCAGCATACGACAAAAACTATCTGTGTGTATGTGCGTGTGCACGCCGTGACCTATTAGTAGAACAATCTTTTGAATGTCATAAGTCCCCTCATATCATGGGTGTGAATCTCCCTCTGGCCAGCTTGCCAGTAGTACGGACAGTCCTCGAATAATTAGACGCATAAGGGTGGTTGGGTGCTCCTATAGTAGCCTCATGTCATTCTTTTAATATATATATGCGCCACGTACCCAGATCAGTTGGTCGGGCATCCGCTTGTCAGGTGTAAGTCCCCTATGATATGGTGTTCAATTCCCCCCCAAGTGTAGGGTGTGATACTCGCGCATCAAAAATGGTCAGAGCTCTTATAATAGCCTCTGGGCTCTGGCCATAGAAACATGAGGGTACTTGGGGGTTCGTATAATAGTCTCTTCTCATTGTTTTAACACACACACACACACACACATGCGTCATGTATTCAGATCAATTAGTTGGGCATTTGCTTGTCAGTTGTATGTCTCCTCTGGTCTGGAGTTCGATTCCCCCCGAGTGTAGGGTGGGGTACTCGTGCATGACGAGGCTCGTATAATAGCCTCAGACCATTCCTTTGAACATATACACACACACACACATATGTGTGTGTGTGCGCGCGCGCCACCAGCTGTGACTTATTGGGAGAACAATCTTTTTGCAGTTCATAAGTCCCCTCAGTTCACGGGTTCGAATCTCCCTCTGGCCTGTTCGCCAGTAGTAGGGGTGGTACTCGAAGAATTAGACACATGAGGGTGGCTAGGGGCTCTTATAATAGCCGCCTCCTGCCATTCTTTTAAAATATATATATGACTGACGATTTTATACCACTCAATCTCTACGTACTTATATATCTAACACCTATATTTCAATTTCTATATACCTATGCATGAAAATGAGTGAAAATGATGATATTTCTTAAATGATATGAAAAGTTTGGGTTGTAAAAAATAAAAAAGCAAGGGTTAGATATGTAAATACTTGAGAATTGAGCGGCATGCAAGTATGGGAACCACTCGCTCCCTCCCGCTTTTTGAAATAAGGGTGGTTTGGAGTTGCGTGGAGAATCTCTATAAATAACTATTAGCGTTGACGAACTGTGTCTGTGCGCACACGCACGCGCGTGCGTGCGCGTGTGTGAGAGAGAGATGTGAGAAAATTTTGGAGCATAGAATTTTAGAAGTTATATGTATACCATAAGGCCATTTACTTACGTATCCTCCAATTCTTATGTATTTACATATCTAACACCAATTTTTTTTTTTTTACATTCATACCACCCACATAAAAAATACCCCTATTTTAACTTTTAAAAGGTGAAATGTACCTGTTTATACATAAATAAGATGACATATATATGTAAAAACTAAAGTTAAAATGCTAAATATATAGATACATATGAATTAAGTGATATCTCCATATATATTTAGGTAATCATATTTATTTTTAGTTCAATCAATAATAAATCGTGATATTTTAGGTTTAGAATCTATCAAGTTAGATTTAGGGTCTGTTTGGGGCGACTCCAACTTTATTAAAAAATAACTGTGAAACTGCTGAAGAATAATTCAATATTTAAAAAGCTGTTGTGTTTATTACTTTTTTTTTTTTTTTTGAAAAAGTCTGACTACAACTAGAAAGCTACCACCCCATCTAGTCAGGACCGGTGAGAAAATACAGATTTCAGCAGCAACTTTTTGAAAAAGCTGTCAAAACGCAATTTAACGAAACAAACAAAACAGCAGTGTTGCGCCGCACAGCC